ACGTGACGACGCTGGGCATGCTGGGGCGGGGCCACGACTATCCAAGGGAAAACCATAGAGTTTTCCCTCAGATGACCATGGCCCCGCCCCCAGCGTGCCCGGTGGCGTCACGTCACTTCCAGGTGACGTGCATGTCGGGGTGGGGTTCCCCCCGGGGCCTGATCCGCCGGCGGCGGGGAACGGGCCTCTGGGGTGGGGGTTTCCCCGCCCCCCGGGGGCACTTGGGAAGCCTATAACACTGTCATCCTTCAAGGTTCATCTTCTGCTCCACAGTATCTAGAGGCAGTGTCTAAGAGGTAGAATTGCAAGGTCTAAATCTGGCAACCAGCAGGGGGCTGGGGGGGACATGGTGGTGCCATTGGCTGACAGCATGATGTCACTTCTGGGTAAACCTGGAAGTGACATCATGCCTCTTTAGGAACTGGCTGAACTTTTATAATAAAACCATAGCGTTTTCAGTGATTCCGGAGATGACAGGCATTACGTCTGGCTGAGTTTTGTCCAGGTCCTAGAGAGGTGTGACATCAATTCTGGGTTTACCTGGAAGTTACATCACACTGTTGGCCGATGGTCAGCTTTCACATTTTATTTTTCTCCCAACAGGAAATGCCAGTGGAGGGTGGAGGATGCCTTGGCCCCACCTGGGGGGCAGGGAGCTGGCACCCCTAGGGAGTGGGGGTATCTCACTTGTAGCACACAGCACTGTAAAGCACATGCATGAAAACTATGGCACCATTCAGTACACAGCTTGTCATTTCACACCTGCAGTGGTGGGAGTATGTTTTGTGAAAACTTGATAATATACTGTATGACAATAATGTTCAGCTAATGTATATGTTACTAAGATCAATTCCTTGGCGATACTCCACTGCTGGAGAATAAGCTACTGCATATTAAACCAATCCAGCAGACAGAACAGAATATAGTAAGGATAGTTGTGCATCGTAACCACACTTGGGTGATTTCAAAGACAGAGACTTTGCTACAGAAGCAATTCTTACAATGGCATCCTAAACAGAGTCACCCTCTTCTAAGCCCATTGATTTAAGATACACTCTCACAAGTCTGCTTAGGATAGCTCTGCTAAAGACAGCCTTACATAGTAACTCTTTGCTCATGTATTAGTTACAAAAGTCAGATTTTTTAAAAATGGAGAGGGATTATGGTAGTTATCTGCTTTGTTAAAAATAATTACCAATTATTATAAAGTACTATGAAATGGTATCACATTGTAGACGTTGTTTTTGAACTATAAATTTACAAGTAAAATGAAATTGCAATCATGCTTATGGATGCATGGATTTCCCCCCCCCCCTTCATTTCCAGGTGAATATCTTATTTCCCCACCCTTCCCTTGAAGCAAGCCATAAAACTTTGCATCTATGGCATGGACAATTTACCAGTACAGCTCCCACAACCCATGGTTTTTCCAGAGAAGAAAAGTATCTTTACAAAGCATGCTGGGAACAGTAGTTCTATTGTTTCTTTGCTATCTTAGCCTCCGGTTAGGGCGAGTTTCAAAACACCTGTCCTTCACTAGGGAAGCAGTTCCTTCTTTTAAAAAAATTCACATTCTTTGCCACTCCTTTTGAGCATGCAAGCAATGCGGTAGCTACCTGAGAAGCAGCCAACCAGGAACTCATTAACAAAGCATGCTAGAGCTTTAAGGTAAGGAGCTTTTGGAGTTTTTAGTAATTAATGGTCCAGGTACTGGTGAAGCCTATGGTTCAATGAGATATCAGGTTAACAGTTTTTAACAAGAGTGAGTGAATGCCTGGGTTCCTTATGTAAGCACATGGGAAAGACACCATGTTTCCAGTGGCTGGAGAGAAGGTTCTGCCCACTTTTAAACTAATAATAGCTAGGATAACAACATAACGCTATTGCTAGAGTTTAGCCTGGAGAATGAATGAGTTTGCTGTAGTTGTTATTCTTTTTGTGTTATTGTCTTGGCTTCTCACATGGCTGATCTGTTGTCCTTCTGAATGAAAACGGAGGGTGTCTTGCAGGGGCAGGTTCCCCCCCCCCCCCCGTTGGGCATTGTAGAGCTGAGCTGAGAGCAACTTCTGACATTTTAAGATGGGGTGGATTGGGACAGTCCTGGAAAGAACTGAGTCATGTGGCCCCTGCGATGCTGCTGGCACTGCAGGGGCAACTCTGCTTTGTACAACCAAGACAAGGGGAGAAAAGCTCAACCCTGCACGAGAAAGATAACTACAAAAGTTGGAACAAAGAGGGGGGAAAGAGCGAAATATAACTATGCGCATAGTACAAAGGTACAAAACATCTGTGTATAATTTAATGACAGGATTGTTGTTTTTAAATTATATTTTAGCACTTCTGATTGCATTATTAAATTATATGTTGATGTTTTGTACCTTTAGAACTACATGCGTGGTGATATTTCACTTTCTTTTTCTTTGCTGCAACTCCACTTTGACCTGCGCTGAGTGACAATAACAGTGGGTGAGTTTGCGCATTGAGTGAGCTTGCCGTTGTCAACATGGCTCAGGCCCAGGCCAAGCTTATTTATTTATATTTATAGCCCGCCGATCCCACTAGTGAGCTCAGGGTGGGTAACATCATGTAATCATACAATAAACAAAAAATAAAAAATTTAAAACAGTAATAAACATTAAAAAACAAATCACAGTTCAGACAAGTCAACTGGTTGTGAGAGGTTCCCTGCTGGCATATTATTTGGGTTAATTGGTAGGTGACAACAGTCTCAGGGATGCCATACACAGATGCCCGCTGCCTTAGCCAAAGGCCTGGTGGAACAGCTCCATCTTGCAGGCCCTGCAGAACTGAAGAAGGTCTCGCAGGGCCCCTGATCTCGACAGGGAGCGTGTTCCCCTAGGCAGGGGCCAGGGCAGAAAAGGCCCTGGTCCTGGTTAAGGCAGGATCACACCACCATAGGGACCATTTGGCTCAGTTTGCCACTAGCTTCTAGTGACTCTCCAGGGCAGCGGCCTGTCAGGAACTTTCCCAGTGAGTTATGCCAACCTGCCCTTGTTTGAAGATGGAGGTCAAGGTAGAGAGAGCACAAGCACCATCTCTTTTATGTTTCTGTGATTCTTCCTCATTAGGAGGACAGCTGGAGCTTTGGTGTCTCTCACAACTTCTTCACATGTACCTGTGTGATGTTGGCATGCTTTCTGAAAGGGTGATGCCGACACAAAATGGGCTCCTGACAAAATGTGGGTTTTTCACATTGTCTTTGTGGCCAGGGGAGATGCTGGACAGTACTTGCTCCCACAGGTAGTACTGAGAAAGTGACGTGAGGTGAAAGCTCCCAGATGTTTCAGAAAGGAACTGCATGGCATTTGAAGTTTTTACCCTGCTTTTGTCCCCACTGACATCACAACTAGTCATATGAGATATTCCAGAGGAAAGAACTTCATCCCAGAAGAACTTCCATGTGGAATGCACAGCACCCACTGTCCTCTCTTACCTCTGTGGAACCATAGAGTTTCATGTGGGCTAGGATATCACAAATCAGTCCTGCATCTGTACCTTCCATGCCTGAAAATAAAGCTCTCAGAGGCTGCAGTCAGACTAGCAGGTTGGTGCGGTTTGGGCGCCCCACTAATTGTCACATTTAGATCTAGCCTAACCGTGCGCTTCTTCCGTGGTTGACCATTCAGATTAGTGCTGCACATCAACCACGGAGCATGTGGTCTGGTCTTTTTTTAAAAAAAAAACTTTTAAAATCTTTTATAACTTTGACTTTTTTGAGAACATTTATTGGGTGCACATGTGTGCGCATGCACACATGCTCTACCATTTTAAAACAAAATACGGCAAAACAGGAACTAAAGGTTCACACTTCTGAACTGGTTTGCGCACCCACCGGGGGCATTCCGACATCCAGAAACACGGGATCAGTGCGTGGAGATGCGTAAGCACCTGATCGTCTTTTTTACCGCAGTTATAGAGTTTGGAACTCCATGGGAAGGCAATGGGGATCTAACCCTTCCACTTTTGCACCATTTGGCTAATCAGAACTGGGCTCTTTACATTGTTAGTGCTCTTTAAAGAAAAAGACAGGAAAAGATGATTACCTGTCTTTTTCCTTTAAAAGGCTAATAATGTTGCAGGGGAGCACAGCTTCAATTACCAAAACCAAGTGATGGTAGAAGAATTAAACCCCCTCTCCCTTTCCAACATAGCCCCCACCCGAACTCAGTTCCTTAGCAGCTGTAACTTCCCTTTATAAAAAAATGGACAGATGTCTGAAATCTCCACCATGCTTAGTTTGACCCTGAGGTTGCACTTCTATCTTTCATAGTTTAAGTGCTCACTGCTGCCAGCGTAAATACCCATGTGGAAAATATATTTGGCATGCATAGTTAGATATCAGAATAAACAGTTACCGTGTCATTTGTAGAAAGGTAAAGTTTTCAGATTATATCCTAGGAAACGTTTCTTGGGGGAAAAACGTTACTCATACAAATGAATAAAAAATAAATAGCTCTGCTGGGCTCACGGACTCTTCCTTTTGGCATTGACGAGGAAAATTAGGGAAGGAACATGCCTGCACAAGCTTATGGTATGCTTTAATGTTCTCTGCAGCAGGAAGAGAAAAAATGCACAGTGAAAAAAAGGACCTTGCTAATGGTAGCTAATAAAGTTGACAGCCTCCCCCGCCACCAAACTTCCCCTTTGGCAGGGCTCATGTTTCTTTAGTAGCTGCCTGGCATGCAGAAATTTAGCAGGTTTTCCTGTCCCTGCATCTCCATCATGGTAGATGCATGTCAAGCAAGTACAAGAGGGCCGCTGTGGGTGAGGAGAGGCTACAATCCTAGAAGCTCATTCAAAGTCTGGAGACTGAGCCCTATGAGGAGAGGCTAAGGGCCTTGGGAATGCTTAGTATGGAGAAGAGGAGACTGAGGGGGGACATGATTGCTCTCTTTAAATATCTGAAAGGCTGTCATTTGGAGGAGGGCAAGGAGCTGTTCCAGTTGGCAGCAGAGGATAGGACCTGAAGCAACGGGTTTAAATTACATGCAGGAAGGTATCGGCTGGACAGTAGGAAAATCTTTTTCATGGTCAGAGTGGTTCAAAGGTGGAATCAGCTGCCTAGGGAGGTGGTAAGCTCCCCTTCACTGGCAGCTTTCAAGAAGAGGCTGGACGAATATTTGTCAGAGATGATTTAGGCTGGTCCTGGGCAGGGGGTTGGACTAGAGGGTCTGTATGGCCCTTTCCAACTCTATGATTCTATAAGTTTGTGGGAAATCACAGTTTTTTTTAAAAAAACAAAACAAAAGGCATGTGAGTAGGAGGAGAACTGTAGAAAAGAGAATATGAATAGCAAGAAGAATCAGAAGCAGCTAGGAGCATTGCATCTAGGGTTACCAACTCTGATGTAGGGAATTTCTGGAGATTTGAGGGTGGAGCCTGGAGAGGGTGCCATTTGGGAAGGGGAAGGAACTCAGCAGGGATGTGATACCCTAGAGCAGAGGTGTCAAACCTATTTATTATGAGGGCCAGATCTGACATAAACGTCACTTTGTCAAGTCAGGCCATGTGTGCCATGAAATGTAATGCCAGGAACCAGAGATATAAACTTTATAAAGGACAGCAGCTGGCAAGCTCCGAGTTGGTGGGTCCTCACTGTGAAGACTCATGGACTGGGGGGGTGCAGAGGAAAACCCGCATGGGCAGACTGGAGGAGACCCGGTGGTGAAGTGTTGGGTAGACATCCCTGCACTGCCTGGAGGGTGAGGCAAACCCCTTCCCCAACCCACTCCCACAACCAGTGCGGTGAGCCTGGGCTCCAGGGGAAAACACAAAGTGGCTGGGAGTTGCAAACTCCTCCCTACTCCAGAGCTGCTGCGGAAGGGGACCAGGAAGATGAGCTGAACTTGGGGGGGGGGTGACCCAGGTGCAAGGCCATACGCATGGTGGGACTCAGGCCCAGCAAAGCTCAATAAACTGGAAACACCTATGCAGCGGCTGCCACCTCTGGCCAAAGCCACCGGGTGACCTTGCCTTGAAATCCCAAGCCGGTGTGAATGTGGCTGTGGTGGTCTTCAACTTACAATGAGGCTGCTGCTGGAGTGAAGGCATCCTGCTTGACCTTTGCAGACAAGGTTGTTCTGTTGTGCTGAAGACACCATGGGAATGGCTCCGCCCACTCACCCCCCCTCCAAGCGGAGTGGCTCCAGTTCCCTCCCTCTCACCAGTTGCTTGTGGGCCAGATAAGAGCTCTGCATGGGTCAATACTGGCCCACAGGCCACATGTTTGACACCCCTGCCCTAAAGTCCACCCTCTGAACCTGCCATTGTCTCTAGGGAAACTGGTCTCCATAGTCTGGAGTTCAGTCATAATTCTTGGAGAACTCCTGGAAAATGGCAAATATGCTGAGCCTGTGTTTGATATAGTAGTTCATATTCAGTATCAGCCTTAGGTTGGTCCAGCTGAATTTGTTAGGTGTACAACTGAGGGCACGTGTCCTTTCGGGGGCTACACCGCTCCCATGGAATAATCTTCTAGAGGAGGTACGGAGTCTTCTTTGGCCATTTTTTTTGAAAATTTACAGATTTTTTATTTATTTTTTTTAATCATAGGTCTGTTTTAGACTGAGTATTGGGTTGCTGGGCTGTCATATGTTTGGTCGGTTTTATTTTGCTCCATTTTATTCCTTTATCAAAGAAATGTTGTT